AATATTGATATTATATATATATATATATATATAAGTATATAGATAATTGACCAATGTGGACCTTATTTTCGCAATTCAATGAATTGCTTTATATAGCCTACAACACTAGACAAAATATCTTTATTGGGATCTAAAATAGTTTTAAGTTAAGAGTTTGAGTCAAGCTGGTTAAAATTAGGATAATGGGTTTTAATTGCATTTATAAGGGGATTTCTAATATTACTCTTTGATTTGGCAATGAAGTAAAAATGTTCCTCATCATCAAAAATTTTACAAACTTTACAAGCTCTGTGATCTCTTTGAATTTTTTTATATCGACCTATTTCAATTTCCAAGTTATGGTCACTTACCCGAAATTTTGTTAAAAGCTGACAACTATTAAAATTGTGTAAATTGTGCAAGTAGTCTTCCAGTTTAGTTCATTTTTAAGTTTACTATAAACATGATAAAGGTAACGTTTTGAACTGTTATCGATATTTGAAAGTTTACTGAAAGGTTTCAAACTAAATTTTATAGACACCAGATTGGTAATAAAGAAAAATAAGATTTATTTAAATTGTTTTAAGTGATGCTTGTCAAAATGTGAAAAGATCTACACAAAGAAACATACAGGTACATATTTTTATAGTTAATCAATATAACAAATAAACATCAATCTAATGACTATAAACAGAATAAATGAATAAGGAAGAAATGTTTAAAAACAAAAAGGGATGATTAAAAATGAAAATATGATTATCACATTTAAAACCATCACAAAAATGAATGAAAAATTGTTTTTTTTTTAATTATGACCATGATAATGAATAATAGTTCTAACATATTTTAACATCGCATGTGCCTGCCTATGCAATTTTATTCAATGCAGGCAAGCCATTTGTATGATTGCACACACAGTGCCATGTATGCACATCTTTTTTAATTTTGTTCTTTTTTAAGTTTTTTAATATGTTATACCTTGGAATACACATCTAGTAAGGAAACAATTTTGCATGTTGAATCAGAGCAATCTGAAGATTCATGCTCAAAATATACTTAATAGATCTTAATAGGTCAAGTGTTTGCCTCCAACATAAAATTTAAATCATGGGATGCATATCAGGCGAATTAAAGGGGGAGCGGACGGGCATGGTGCGCGGACTTTTAACAAATTCATCTCCTTACGTTGCATTGCTGGTGGCCATCATAGGCCTGTTATTTAAAAATCTTGGACCCGCATCTATGCATGGCTGGTCATTCTGTCTGCAAAATGTCGACATAAAGTTACGTAGGCGATGGTCAATGAAGAAAGGATTGTTTACAAGCGAATAAAATGGTGTTGACTTGGATAAATTATTCAAAGGAAGTTTGTCTATACAGACTGCCCTAGTCATGTTGACAGCGAAACGTGTAACAAATTAGCCCCCTAAAGTAAACAATACATCTTTATTTACATTCAATCGAGACTCAATCATTAATGAAATGAATATCGACGAACATCGGCAGTAGAAAACTAAAATGATTTTAAACAAACTTACCACAAAATATAACAAACATCCTTCTATATTAACTGATTAACTTGTTTTTGTTGGACGGTTGACACTGATTTCTACCATGACAATGTGCCCGATCAGCTGTTCGTGACAAACTCAAACCTGACGTCGACGAAACGATCTAGCCAATCATTATCTCATAGTTTAGAAACTAACGTCACATTTAGATTCCGATGCATTCATTGAAAAAAATGTAAAGTGCATTAACCTGCCTGCGCAGGGTTAGTTTCAAAAGCGCAATAACTGTTTGGTGTCATATCCAAAACATCCAAGGGACATCTTGAGAATAGGCGGAAGAAGAACAAAAAAAAAACAGAAGAAATTTAATAGGTCTTTCCACGGAAAAGTGGAAAGACCTAATAAAAGAATAAATTTTACCTTTGATAATTCAATCACTTCATTTTCTTTTTGTTTAAGGCTCGATTGTTTTTCTTTGATTCTGGATATTCGACGTGAGTGGGGATTTTAAATATTTGGAATCATTTCATAAGATAACAAAGATAAATTGAAAGAGTTGGTCCTGCTTTGTTTCATAAAAGGGAATGGGCAATGCAGAAACAAGTATCTTGTCTTAGAGCGGACAAATCGTACTTTATAAAAACTTGCTCGGATTCAAACAAAAAATTCTCTAAAACTGACATTATCACGATGCTTGGTTTCTTGAATCACAACATATTTGATTCTTTTGGATGATGTGTTTTTCAACGAACAATCGGCATTATCATGGGAACCAACTGTGCTACTCTTCTTGTCGACTTGTTTTATTCATATGAGGCTGACTACCTTGAACGCATCTATCCTATCGAATTTGAGATAACGGATTCAACAGAAACAGTAAAGGTCTGTCTCATATCTAATGTATCTTGACTTAATCTAGAAATTGACAATGAGGGTCGCTTAAACACAAAACGTAACGACCAAAGAGATGATTTCAGCATCCCATTTGCCAACTTTCCATTTCCTTGTAACATTCCAGCAGCACCTGCATACGGAGTATATATTTCCCAGTTGATATGATATTTCAGGTCTTGTATTTCCTACAATGATTTCCTTGATAGAAGGTTGCTGCTCGCAAGGAATTTATTAAACCAAGAGTTCATAGAGGTGAATCATTCTTTCTTAAATTCTACTGTCGCGATCACGAGTTGGTTGACCGTTACGGAATATCTGTTTAACAGATGACGACGAATATGTTCCAATTGTTGTAACTACAACACTGCACCCTAATTAGACTTATCATCAAAATCTCCGGGTTTGTAATTACCTGATCAGCGGGTGCCGCATGTTGAACAGGATCTGCTTAACCTTCCTGAGCACCTGAGATCACCCCCAGTTTTTGGTGGTGTTCGTGTTGCTCAGTCTTCAATGTTCTATGTTGTGTTTTGTGTCCTGTCTTTTGTCTGTTAATTTTTTTTCCTTCTTAGCCTTGACGTTGTCAGTTTATTTTATATGTATGAGTCTGATCAGTAGCCCCTTATAAATATAATATATATATTTATCATATACTTAGAGTAAATAACTTATAATTTTTACAATATGATAATAGCACTAAATTTATGTGAATTCTATAATTTCCGAAATGGTACTTAGCGGGCAGATATGAAAAAATATCAACTGTTTCCGGTTATAATCGCATGCCTTTCCGCAACGTTATCGCATGGTTTTCCTGCGTCACTAGGCAAATTCCGGGAAATACAGCTCAGTGGTACGTTTTCAGTGAAAAACATAACAAAATAGGGTACAAAACAAATATTCGGAAACAGGAAAATATATTACTAGTATATAAAATGCAAAACAAATGATACAATAAATGCATTTTTGAAAATTTTAAAATTAGTTCTGTCTGTATTTCTTCAGCTGATGTATATGATAAAAAGATCCTTACATGTCATTTTTCATTATGTTTTATTGATTTTTTATCGTCAATATAAAAAAATATCATACTTTAGTTTTTCTCCTCTGTTGAGCCATATGATAGAAATATTTCATATCGGATGTATTACATTCGGCGTCCGCCGTCCGTAAAAATTCAAATTTTTAACTTCTACTTGAGAACCACATAAAGGATCGATATACTGAACTATTTTCTCCATTGTTGTAGCATATGACAAAAAGATAATACATCTGATATGAAAAAAAGCCATGTTATAATCTGATAATATCGATCCACAATTATCATTATTTGCTTGACGAAATGATGACTTGAACGTGATAAGGTACTTATCTCTAAAACAGTAACACATAAAACTGCTAGTAGTGTAGTGCGAGTGTTGCATATTGTCTAACGCAGACATATTCCTCTTTAATTTATTTTTTAAGAAATTGATGTTCATGTCTGATATCTGATAATATATGTTAAATAAGTTACTTTTTTACACTCAAGAGGAAACTAGAAAATTACAAATTGTATTGACACCTAGTGTTGACAACCGTATGCTGACATTTAGATGTTGTTTTTTTTTTTGTCATGTTTGTGTCATTATGATGTTGTTATCTCATATATATATATATATATATATACTTCCTTCCACACTACAAATGACTTGCTTTCTTAATGGGCGGGGGTAAGTGTAATCGCATTGTAGTCTCGTTGACATGAACCCAACATCTCCTTTCTTTTACCTGCACATGGTTTTTTTATTTTTGCTGGGGAAATTTGGCCATTGAGATGCAATTTTGTCGACATTTACCCTCTTTCTCCCTGTATTAATCATACGTCTTGCTTTTAGCTTATCACTAAGATGCGTTTTCATTGAGATATATGCAACATCTCCTTTTATTTACCATCACAATATTTTGTTATTTGGAGATTTACTGAGTTGCTGACGTGTACTCTGTTTCATCTTTAACTCATCTATTTTTCACATCAGTTCCTTGCCATAATTATTTGTTATGATATAGAAAGTGATACGTCTTGTCGCAATAACCGAATCTCAAACCTTATCAATTTGTTACACATCTTACTGTTATCTACTTCAATTTTTGATGCAATTAAAAGTATATATTTGAGATCCAGTTGAAATAGTATATCTACATATACCAAACTGCATTTTTTTGTCAGAGCTATACTGTTTTATTTCCACACCTTCTATTGCATCAAATGTAACTTAATAATCATTTTGAAGCTCTTCAAAAATTGTTATCCAATTATATTGGTAATGCAATGCTTTAATGCTTTAACTTTATCCATGACATTACTTCCTATCTGTCACTGGAATATTTCAAATATGATGGTTACAATTCTTTATTAGTCTTCGAACATTTAGAGGAAAACAAAATTAATGTGGGTTACATCAGTATAATACTATGCAACGCTGGCAACAGCATGCCTACGTCCCAGCCTATAAACAAATGCATGACCTCTACTATCTGTATGATGTGAATCTATAACTTCTATTTTTTTTTCTTATCACACTATATTTGTCAGATCTATTTATATATATATATATATCAAGTGCTTATACTTACAGGTGAAAACGTCCTCTTCCAGGAGAAATTTTCGTTCACCAAATGTTACTCCATACAAACATGAATAAGAAACATTAAGATCTTGTTTAGTCAGATTTTTTATAACTAAGGTGTATCCATCCTTCGTAGCCTTTCCATCATACTTTTTATTAGGATGTGCTGTTTTGACATCTATAAATAGTGTGCGTTGTTCTGGGGTCCACATATCCCAACCAGAATATTTGGGACAACAGTTAGAAACATTACAAAATAATGTCACGTTTTGTCCATAATCTGTTACCTTTCTAACAACTGTCCATTCTAAAACACCTGAAACTGTTTAAGATGATTTTCTCTTGAAATTAAAGGCTGCATTTTACGTTACATGCATTTTTAATCTTTTATCATCAAACGTTATTACAACTGTAAGGTTTAAAAGGTCTTCCTTTTTTTTTAATCTATTTTTTTCTTCTTTAAAATATTGCTATAAGATGAAAAACATAAATCAAACACTGTTCCTTAATTTTCCTCATGTTTTGTCAATTATGTCATGAATGAATATCTCCAATCTTTTCCGTAAATTGATAATTGATTACATTAGATTACCTTTCTTTAAAGTAATCATGATTACTTTAGATTACATTGTACTTATGATTACATTGTATACTGTGGTATTAAATAAAAACTTTTTAAACATTTGATCCTCACATAAAAAAGCTAATCTGAGCAAAAATTTGTGTTTTTGATATTTTAAATATAAACATGTTATTTATAGGAACTTAGAAAAGGAGAAGTGTAATGTTTGTATTGTTTGATAACATAATTTATATTATTTTATTTGACTGATTTACTTCCAATGTAAATGTCTCTGTGCTTTCTCTGTTAAATGAATAACATTGTTTTTTTAATATTTAAGCCAAAATTTAAAACATATTTTCAATTCAGAAAAAGAAATGAACAAATAGTTATTATTTAATGACCAAGTAGCCTTTATGTCTATGTGGATATGATTGACACTTAAATGTGTTTTACAGGTGTTAATCACTACTTCAAATTTTATTACAAACAATAAGTGAACTTCCCAGCAAACACACAACATTTTAAAAACATTTTTTAAATGTCATATGGACGTCTCTCACAAAATATTTCAATAAGATATCATTTAAACATAAAAAAAATGTTTACTTTATTGTTTTTGAAATGTTTTATTTCTAACATTTAAGTAAAATGTTTTTACAACATTAACAAAATATTGTTTGCTAATATCTTTTATTCATGTTCTCAAACATTGTTCTAAAATATCCCGTAGATATTTTATAATATAAAAAAATAATATTTTCTTCAATTGGTATTTTATATTTTAACAACATTTAAAGTAAATATTTTCCAAATATCCAAAAAACATTCTGCAAAAAAATGTTTTACAGAAAATATAGTTTTGCTATTTGCATAAAATGTTTTATAACGTAAAATTATAATGTTTTACATAAAACATCTGAAAAATATCAGCTAAATGTTTTCTATAAAATATTCTGACATACACATTACTTAATAGTCTTACTGATATTTTATTCAACATTTTACGGATATAAAAATAATATTTTATTTAAACTTTATTCAAAATCCCACAAACAACGTTTTGTGGAATTAACTCGTTTTTTTTTCAGGATAAGATATAGTACTACATTTCATCAATATCATGACAAGCAAGATACTATGGTTGAAATCCTTAATTGATATCTTGAAGATCCTTGAAGTCAGATTTTATTCCTTCTTATATTAAAATTCAAAAGAGTCAACATTAAATTAAGCAATAATGTATTAATAAACAATCACCTTTCTTTAATGTTTATTCATTTCGGTCGTGTATATTTTAGAAATTAAGAAATAAAAACTGTAACTGTACTAAGTTCAATTTTCGTATCGTTTATATGCTTTACGGAAAACCGACCTATTCCGGAATCAACTTTTGTTTTATCACCGGAAATGATTTTGAAATTAGAATTTCGAAACGAAGACAGGATATCAACAAAGAGAGCCAAGAAAATTATTTGTTACGCGATATATACTCACTTGGTAAGAATGATAAATCTGTTAAGATGAAACTTGTGCATTCATTGTGTGTGTTCAATTATAATCGGAACCAAATTACATCTGTTTCTGGAGGTGCGGATCAAGGTTTTGAAAAAAGGGGGCCCCTGCGCAAGGCAAGCAAACGTTTGGAGTGATACTTGTAAATAGTCTATACATTTATCTTATAAGTAGCTCCATAAGGTGGTCGGGGCCCCTAAATCCGCCACTGTTCAAGCATCTACGTACACCAATTTGGCAATTATGAATTTGTTCATTGATATAAAAAAAAATATAATGATACATGGCTTGTGTGTTTGATTGCCAATACACCTTATCGCTATTTGTCCGCCATTATTGGCCATGGACATCACAAAAGTTCCAGTAAAATGTTGACGTCATATTAGAAAATATTTGACACCACAATTGAAAGTAATACACCTTATCGCTATTTGTCCGCCATTACTAGACATCACACAACTGTCACAAGTTCCCTTAAAATTTTGACGTCATCATAAAAAATATCTGATGCCACATTGGAAAAGTTATTGTTGTTTGACGTCAAAAGTTCAAGCAGGATAGATTCTCGGGTCAAGCGGGAATAGCGATAAGGTGTATTATTGTATGACGTATGCTGACGTAAAAAGTTCAAGCGGGACAGATTTCCAAATACTAAAATAGAGATAAGGTGTATGAGACAGCTATCCACCAGAATTTAAATGACTTGGATAAAAGAAATTATAGGTCACTGTACGGCTTTCAAAACTGAGAAAACCAATGCCATATAGTCCACTTTGAAGCCTTGACAAACAAATGTTAAATTTTTCTCAACACAATTGAAACAAAACAACTAACTGCCAACTAAATACACATTATGAAAAAGAAATTTGACAGACTTAAACCAACAACAACTATTGCAAAAAGCATGACTCAATACCTTGTTTCCGAGGCACACAAACAAGTAACAATAACACTAATATAAGCACCATTTGAATATGGAGATTTTTTTTCTAGTAAAATCACTGTATGTATGCATTTGCAAAACAGTAAATTAAATTTCCCTTAACAGCTTAATGAACATTACAAAGGCTATGCAAGACTTCAGTATTAGCAAGATAATATAAACTGTTACTTAAAATTATATTTATTGCTTCATACACACAATGTACATACAATGTATCTTTATTTTTCAACAGGAGCTAAAAGAAAAGCCACAAAGGACAAGTTCAATATGCAGGTTTACAATTTAGAAATGGCACAGGTTCTTTGGAATGTCTACAACCTTTCAGGAGATTTTTTTTTTGAAGTAAGATTTTCATACAGAATTACTGTTATTCCATATTTAATTCAAATATTTAGCATAAACAATGCATTACATTCAAGATTAAGGGCATACAATACAGAAAAGATATCTGGATATTTGAATAAATGATTTTTTTTTGTGACAAAATAGAAACAAGTTGTTTATTTAAATCAATCTTTTAGTCCAACAGTGTGCTAATTTATAAACAACATATTTGCTTTCCTTTGAAGTATTTCAAATACATATAAACAACTCATTTAATGACATCTGTGTGTTTCTCAGAAGTTAAGTAATATTATTATCATCATTGCGAAAACAATGCGTAACACTTCGATAAGTTATTATGTGCCTATAGTCTACTTCTAGGACTGGATCATATGCCCTTAGATACAAATGACAAGTTATAAACTATGTCACTCTACAAAGTTTAACACTTAAAAAGGACAATAAGATGTTTAATGACATAATGTAGCAGGGCTTTTAAAGGCCCCTACATGATACAATGCATTTAATGAAAACTAAAAAAAAAAACAAGAAAACAATAGCCTGATTTATACAAAACAGTAAAAGAAAAAAAAATATGATAGACAACAATCAACGAGTATAATGAAATAAGACTCTTGACTGGACACATATCCAGTCTAAAGTATTTTATGTGTTTTTTTTTTAATAACTTAATGAAGTTCAGCGTGGCATATCGCTCTCTCTTAACACGGTCAGTCATTTATCGGCCCCTTCCGACAGACTATCATCGTTATTTGTTTCAAAACTTTAAAGGGGAGGGGATGTATAATCCTTCAGGCAACGTGGATCGTTCTATAATAAAGGAATGTGCAAGAAGTTTATATATGAATGTAAGATTAATTTTTTTTCAGAAGCATGGCACAGCAAGAAAAAGATATAAGACACTACAAGACATTCCAAGTGATTTTGAATAAGACAATTGATTGACTTTTTCAATGTATTCTTAAATAAATCAAATAGTTGATGTAAAATGGTGTTTTGTTCTCATCTCTTCAGCCAATTATCAATGATTATTGACTTAAGATGTAACCCTATTAGAAGTGTAGCATTTTAGTTTAGAAAGAGAAGTTGTATTGAAAAATCTGAATTTGGGACACAAGTTTTAGTCAATGTAACTTGAACTTAAAAATGTGTACTATGTTTGCATAATGTCCAATGGCATATACGTCATGCATGTTCAGGTTGACATATGCATGATGTGTATAAGATAGGTAATAAAAGTTGAGAGTGAAAAACTAAACATTATACCATTGTGGTTGGAATGTGGGCATTCTTGCACTGTCTGTCGTCTGTCCACCTATATTTGTCGGATTTTGTCCAACAAATATTTTCATTACTGTTTTTCCCAAAACTGCTTATAAAGATGAGTTCATATTTAATTAGCTGCTTGATAGTGATGAACTGTGATGTGTGAACATTTTTGTATCTGGCACCTGTTTCCTGTTTGCTTATACATTGTATTTCAAAATGTTGAATGTTCTCAAATTTTTCATTACTTTAATTAGTAATGCTGATGAACAGAATGACTTCATATTTGGTAAGTGGCTTGACCATGATGAGTTGTGTCTGCCATTTTGGATGTGTCAAAATTTGTAGGTACTTCTTGTTTTTAGAGACTTTGAATTGTGAATTTCATATGCTTAGCAAAACAACTGATTTGTTCTTGTTTGTATATAAAATTAATCACTGTGTATAAATTAATTTAACTAATGATTTGTTATTTGAAAAAGCAGGAAACTCAATCAAAAGTACAGAAATTTTTATATTGATATGATCTAGATATCAACCAAAAACATCTTCTTAAAACATTTTGAAAACATTTTTTAGGCACAGTCTCACTTGCAAGAAAACATCCAAAAAACATTTTTATAACATTATTTGATGTTCATGATGTTTTTCAAACGTTCAGAAAATATTTCTAGAAAATATTTTTTAAAAGATTATCAAAATGTAAAAACGCCATTGTTTTTTCACATTATCATGATATTTCTTTACAACATTTTAATTATATTATGCAAATATTTTAGAAAATATATTAGAAAACGTTTTAGCGATATATATTCTACCATACATTTAATGTTTTTCTCACGTTTTTTTGTGATATTTTCATGACATTAGACACAACATTTTAAAAACATTTTAAAGATGTTTTTGTGTTTGCTGGGTTGGGCAATTAAAATGATTTTTTTATTGCAATAATCAATAAATTTGTATACAATTTATTTTGTATTATGTACAAGATTGTAAAATTTATATTTTATACAAACATATTAAGAAAATTCATGATAAAAAAATATAAATTTTTGTTATAAAGATTGTGAAAAAATAGTTGGTTCTAAATTATCATTTAAAGCTAAATATCAAAATCAATATAAAGAGCAAAATTTGCACTTCACCTTAACAGTGCAAACATTTTCTGCAATCCAAGGGAACAACAAAATAATTTAAAAAGCACACATCTTATATTACAAGGGCTCAATCTCAAAATCTAACTTTTGGAAAGGTAAATTCATGTAGTAAACTGTATAAGAAAGCCACACATTTACATCCTACATACCGTTAAGCATGAGCATACTGAAACTGAAATGATTAAACATTTAATACGATCAATCCTTTTGAACCATTATCAGTCATAGTGAACATTAGTTTGAAATTTTTTTTATTGATGCTTTCATATAAAAAAACAATTCTAATATATAAAATTTGTAATCATCAAGTAATCATTTGAATGTAATCTAAAAGTAATCTAAAAGTAATCATGATTACACCTGTTTTTTGCATTGTAATCGATTACATTACGATAACTTGAAATCAGAAAATGCATGATTACTGATTACATATAATTACACTGCAAAATGTAATCGATTACAGCTGATTACGATTACTGATTATGATTAACCCATGCTGGGTGCTATATAGATTGATTGATTGGTGTTTGTTATACGTCCAGGGGGATCTAATTCATAATGTTCACGACGAGAACAAATTAACAATAATAATTAGAAGGTCCTTCAATAGGGGATCGACCGGGATGATAAGCGCAAAATGTGAAGAGATGGTTTCTGTGGATCCTATTATTTGTTCTAATTTTTTAGATGATTTCACTTTTATTGTGTTCGGTTATGCAATATAATTCGTATAACTTCATTCGTATTAATTCACTGTTTTATTTAAGTCGGTAAAGAAATGATTATAAAACTGTTACAAAAGTCTGTTTGCATTGGAAATTATTTTCAAACATCATTCCTGCACAGATCTTGACTCGGTCAGTGGTTCCCTAAGCCTTATATTTGTATTGATTCTGCATTAACAACATGAACAATGAAATAGTCGAATACATTTTGACATTGTTTTTCATTGCATGTCAGTGTGTGAACATATGTTTTACTTAGGTGACAAGGGTCGAGAACAATGAAATACACTTTGTCAAAACAGAATATTTATTCAAAGAAGGAAAATTTAACGTTTAAGTTCAGGTTTTCATTTACCGTAGCAATCATCGATCACATATGTTCACACACTGACATGCAATGAAGATATATTACTGAATTTTAAATAATTTCCGAAAATGCTGTGATCTTACCATGATAATTGAAATGACATGTTGATACTGTTTTTGTTAGCAACTGTGCAAAGCAGAGAAACCAAAAATCCAGCTGTACCGAAAGATGGACATGCATACTTCTCCAGATAGGAAAAATGATACAGAGATGAATAAGATGATCCAACATGAAGTTTTTCCATTTAGAATTGTTATTCAATTTCTCAGTGAAATTGTTTTATGCTTTGTTTAAATGAATTGTTGACTTTTTCCTAATAACAATAATCATGTATTTACCTTGTAATATAAGGCAGTTCAGAATCAGCAATGACACACAATACTTCATAGCTAACAAATTTCTGAAAACAAATAGATCATACAATCATATGAAATTAAAACTGTACAAAACTACAAAACAACAGCGTGTATATGTGTACCTTCAAAATTCAAGAAAATCTCTTTAATTGGTTATCAAAGGTATTTAAGTGATATTTATTCAAAAGATTGACTGCATCAAGAAAAAAATTACATTGTTTCTAACCATGGGACTTATCATATCCCAAACATTATCAGATGTTCTGTTGTATACTATGATTTAAAAGATAAAAATTAACGAGTTCCACATGAGGGTAAACTATATAAAATTCAACAAACAACACCGTTTCTAAAGTACCCCGACAAGAACAGTTTCGTCTTAATAGAATCTAATATCATTTACGGTGACGGACAACCTACAGACAGACAAAATGTAGGATTTCCTTTTAATGTTTTATTTATTTCTTTTTTATATGAATTTGTAGAATATAAATACACATATTACTATTTTCGATTGTGTGATGTAATATTTTCTACAAATGTTAAAAGAAAAATAAGACAAAATGCGATGCAAATTGGTGAGTAGCGTGAACTTTACTTTTTACATTAAATTGTGCATATTGTACTGAAAGAAACGTACAGGGAAAAGATATATATATATGTGTGAAGATTGCGAGATTAACCACTTTTTGCATCTCAATATTCGTATTTTCTGTATGGAACGAAAGAAATGGTTCACGTCAAAATGGAAGTACCCGGTTTTGTAAATTCATATCTTATGGGTTAAAATCTGACGTTCACCAAACGATACATGGCTGGTGGCAAAAATGTTTTTTGTAAGGGAACAACTGAACTAAAAATGAATTTAATTTCGCATTCAGTAGTACAAAAAAAATTGATCTGAAACAGTCATTTTGATATGAAATGCTCTTACGATACTGAATAATATACCATTAAGTAATGTTTAGTCTTTCAATCAGTTTTAAGGATCCCTTGCGTTAAATTCAGTGCTGTTCAGACAATTTTACTTGCTGTCAATTACGATCTGTTCAGTCTATGTTCAGACTTTGCAGTAGTAGTTATTTACCTGTTCAGATAAACATTATATTGAGTTGTCTGAAGAGCTACTGAACAGTACTGAAATGACTGCAAGCGAATTGTCTGAACAGCACCACGGTGGATAAGTTTTATAATTGACCGAAAGACTAAACATGACTGAAAACGTATTGTTCAGATTGTTCGGATGAAGTTAAGCTCAAAATGACCGTCTCATGTCAAAATTGGTTTACTAGTGATTGTATGAAAATGAAATTTGATACAACGGGTCTCATAGGTGGAGCAGAATATGCTTACCCTTCCGGCGAACCTGAGATTAACGATGATTATTGTTTGGTTTGTGTTTTTCCTAGACTTGTTTTTTTTATGTTGTGTTTTGTAGACTGTCGGTTGTTTTTCTGTGTCAATTTGTTTTTAATGTTGTTTTTTTTGTCAGTTCTTTTCGACTAATGAGTTTGACTATCCCTTTGGTTTATTACGCCTCTAATTAACGGCGAAATATAAATACAATATGTAACTCAATTAAATGTTCTCAGCTCTCTTCACGTTTTTCTATATCTCTTCTGTAAAATTCAGTTTTTAAACTTGGATTGTGTACAGCCTCGAAAATGAAACACCCTCATTTGGTATGTGATTTTCTAGGACAACATGATGTTATCGAAGTTAATATTCCACTCTACCCGGGGAGGGGGATAATATGTCCTTTGATACTTTGAAAATGAATATCTTGAAGACAAAATGTTGAACACATATATATACAGGATTGCCCATGAAAGTGTTCATGCGGCGCAAAAAGTCACAATTGTTATGAGTCGAAAAATCCTCTTTTCCTTCCTTGGGACTATTATTGTTGATGATCCCTCATGCAAGCATGTATGTTACAAAATTGTCAAAGTGCAATAATACCGAAAAACAGCAAAAATACTGAAGAAAAAGGGACTTGCTATTTATACAAAAGGAAAAGGTCGTTCATAGAAATAATTTATTGATTCATTGCATAGAAAATGTGAATTTTGTGGCAAATTAAGAAAAGATTTTTACAGACTTTATTATAGAGAGATTAGTTAAAACATTTTATACATTGATCACTCACTTGTTTGTCCATGTCATGCTTGAGTTTATTGTTTACGAAAATTACTAAACAACCTTTAAAATTCACCAAAAAAACACATCGTGCAGTCAGTAAAGTAGAGCGCACCCTATAAAGTGTACTTGAATAGGTCTATATAGGTACTAGTTTTAACTACTATATTTATTTAAAAACTTTGTCTTAGGGAAATCATTGCTAGCTCTGTATGCGGTAATATCCTTTCTATCAAACGTACAGAATAGTCAAATATAAGGGTACAAGATGTTCAAGGGGAAAGATTGTGGATTTTTCATAGTATATCCATATGTTTAGTATTGAAACAACAAAAAGCTACATATAAGATTTAAACTAAGTATAAGTTTGTAAAATAGTTGAAAATGCAATGTCGATTCTTCTTTTAATACAGGAAAACTAAACGGTCATCTTATTTCTCCATTTTGTATTGATTATAGTACATTGACAAGTTTTTTACATGTCAGTGACATTGGTCCGGTTTATAATTTTTAAAATAATATAACTCTATCGTATACCTTTACATTTAATAAGAAACAAGAAAACACAGACATCCTTCGAATTAGATGTATGTGAATAAATTTATCGTAGATATCTTGATTACATGTTTGTACGCCACGCGCGTCTTGTCTACAAAAGACTCATAAGTGACTCTTGAATCACAAAAGTTAAAATCGCCAACTACAGCATGAAGTTGAAGAGCATATAGGACCCAAAATTCCCAAAGGGTTTGCCAAATAAAGCTATAGTAATCTATTCCTTGAGTAGACTATCGTTAGTATTTAGAAAATATTCAAAGTTTTGTTAACAGTTAATTTATAATTATAACATTTTCAATGATAATGCCTGTCAACACTGAAGTGCTGACCTGGATACTCATGTTTCTTCAAACTAAGTATAACATAATATAAGTTAGTAAAATAGTTGCAGCCTTTGCTGAAAATGCAATGTCGAACCTTCTGTTAATACTGGAAAAAATAAACTGTTATTTTATCTCTCCATTTCTAATGATTATAGTACATTGACAGGTGTTTTACATGTTAGTAAAAGAGGGGTGCAAATTTGGCGCCCCTTGAACTATTTGTATAAACCTCCTATTATGGAAGTTAATGAGCCTGAATGGTACATACCTTGCATACACATTCCTAATGTTACGAAGTTTCTGTCTGTCTTATGTCAATTGCTATTGACTTCATTTTCATAGTTCAGCGACTGCCGAAAAATTGCAAACTTTTATTTTGTAAATTTCAGACTTATTATGATTGATAGGATAACTATATTTAATATATGGGGCCCTTGCAAGTTCTATTTGTCCGTCAGACATGTTCACCTCCCCTTGACCTAATTTTAAGGATCAATGTTATCATATCATGGTCAAGTCCGTATCTCTGATACTATATTTTGAGGTGTGATGCACATATCTTTCTGGCAGGGTTCATTTGATCTTTACCTCATTTTCATGGTTCATTGGTCATTGAGACGTTGGTGTCATCTAAAACATTTTGGGGGGTGTTATAAATGTTTAACACTGTGTAAATACATTATAGAGGAATTGTAATCTTATAACAAAATTTAAGTTTTGGACCAAATCCTATTTTATTGCATCAAACTACTTCTTCATTCACAACCAAAAGTGAATCTTTTTCCAATGCTTCAAGTTTCGCTTACTAACATGTGGTTGATCGTATAACGTTATTAATTCCTAGCAATAATGCAGTTTAACTTATTTGTTGAGAGTCGTGTTGTTAAGAGTATACATTTCATTTCAAACTAATCGTGAGGTCAACTTATCAAACTGTTGTTGTAATAAGTATACAATTACTATGATGGTAAAGGTTCAATGATAAGTTGATATTAACCTGCAAAGCTTCAACACGCGTGTTTTATTACGACTTATCCATATGTGTGCATGTAAATATTGACAAATATGTGTAATGTTTATTACCACAGGCTTTTATGAAAGCTACATTCTGATTGAAATACGAATATAATTTTTTTGTTAGTAAATATAGGAAGATGTGGTATGAGTGCCAATGAGACAATTTTTCTCCATCCAAGTTACAATTTATAAAAGTAAACCATTATAGGTCAAGGTACGTTGTTAGTTTACTTAACCAACATTACAGGATTAACAGATGAAATCTTCTTTAGAGGAAAGAATGAACAAATAAAAATATTGATAAAGATGTATGCTTAGTTGACATCGATATATGGATATAACAATTACAATAGTTTTAAAAATGCCTCCTCCAAAAAAAAATATGTTCAGTGCCTCTCTGAAATCAATTGGATCAATTGGATTTTGCAACCCTTTATACAACCTTTCTCTATGTGAAATTTACAAATCGTCTAAAAGAAATTCGACTTTTTCAACAAATTGTTGGCGTTCCTATGGAAACAGACTGTGCGCCTCTCATCTTCTTATTTGCATATGTTTCGGAGTTCCTTCAGACACTTTTAAAAAACAAGAAAATCGATAAGATCTTCGGATTTATTTCTTTGTATGTGTTTTAGTAAAACGCTACTTCAAATATCTTTTTCGGAAACATTTAAAAACCCGTTTTACCGTTCTTCCACTTCCATATGTAACAGTACCAAAATCCTAAGAATCTTTTGTTGTATTGTAACCAAAACCGGTAAAGAAAAAATGTATTCTGATAGTATCGGACTACCATCAAAAACATTCCTAAAGACGGTTCAGATATTTTTCAGTTCTTAAATCATAGAATTCATTTGTCATTCTCTAGTTACTAGTTCTCAGATAAATACTAAGAATAATACGATAATACTTAAATCACAGAGATGCAATGCGGACAACTCAACTGATGGAGAACATCATGCAGTAGTCCATAACAACGTGTGAACGACAAATGTCTCATACAGATCTGATATCATAGGGCTTTTAAAATATGAATTACTGTTTTTAGCAATACAACTTTCAATAGTATCATATACAAATCCATTGATCTTTACATTATCTTAACTATACATGAATGTTTGACAGGCTGTTAAAAGCCATCACCGAAAATAACACTCCTCAGCATGTGTTCGCTTTCGTCAATTCCAGGAAAGAAAGCAGAATCCACACTTGATTAAATCATACCCTTCAAAAGAAAGAAGGCATAGTGACGAGGTGGCTCTGCTGAACTTGGAAAGGTACTACTCTTTTATTACATCCATCATCAAACAAAACTATTATCTACTCACGCAACAAAAATGCATGTTCATTCAATATTGCTTAAAACCAGTTTCAATGACAATGATGATACCAACGAGGGGATCGAACGACATTTGCGATTTTACAATTACAAAAGTAAACGAATAGCAGCAGTTTTCAATTAACAGTTCATACTTTAACTTTTTTTTTTTGCCAAAAGATCATTTAGGCTCAAAGGAGTCAAATGTACTTGTCAATGATAATGAGAAAGATTAATCGAATAAGAACTTTTCACACATGTCAAGACGGTAAAATGTTGCCTTTTCATGCAACCTTTTTTTGTCTTTTGGAACGTTTTTGCAGAATGTAATATTGCATATTAGCTTTTGATCTACACACAATGCTATTAATCTTAAATTTCAGAACGGTTGGTTATGGGGTAAATAACCCCTAAATAATTCAAGGGTATTAGAAAATAATAATAACTATATCAATTTCTAAAATAACACGTGTGTTCAACAATCCGTAAATAAATTCTGCAATCAGATATAAGGCATACACCGTGTCGAATGTTTTGTTCACTACACACTCCCTTTTTCTGCACTTACTGATGGTGCCCTTAAACCTGTAACTATCAGATAATAAAATTTAGACCAAGTGTGTTTACTTTAGTTTTAAATATAAATAAAATATAATAAAAGTTTGTTATGGTACGAGATTGTAATAGCCATAATTTTTTTTCAAGGTTGATATTTTTCTGACATTGTTATAACATTTCACAGCGGTGTAATACTTTTACTTTTATTATTAATCCCTTATTATTATTAATTTTGTATTTACATTGTATCATAGATCAAATTTATTCGTTCTGTGTATGTTCATTTGTGTTACTACGTCTTTTGATTGAGCCATTTCAATTGATATTTTATAGTGTGTCTTTCTATGTTGTGATGTTACACTATTGTTTCAGATAAGGGTGAAGGTTTGGTACCATTAAAACGTTTAAACCCGCTGCAATTGCTTGCATCTGTCCAGACTTTATTATAGAGAGATTAGTTAAAACATTTTATACATTGATCACTCACTTGTTTGTCCATGTCATGCTTGAGTTTATTGTTTACGAAAATTACTAAACAACCTTTAAAATTCCCCCAAAAAACACATTGTGCAGTCAGTAAAGTAGAGCGCACCCTATAAGGTGTACTTGAATAGGTCTATATAGGTACTTGTTTTAACTACTATATTTATTTGAAAACTTTGTCTTAGGGAAATCATTGCTAGCACTGTATGCGGTAATATCCTTTCTATCAAACGTACAGAATAGTCAAATATAAGAGTACAAGATGTTCAAGGGGAAAGATTGTGGATTTTTCATAGTGTATCCATATGTTTAGTATTGAAACAACAAAAAGCTACATATAATATTTAAACTAAGTATAAGTTTGTAAAATAGTTGAAAATGCAATGTCGATTCTTCTTTTTATACAGGAAAACTAAACGGTCATCTTATTTCTCTATTTTGTATTGATTATAGTACATTGACAAGTTTTTTACATGTCAGTGACATTGGTCCGGTTTATAATTTTTAAAATAATATAACTCTATCGTATACCTTTACATTTAATAAGAAACAAGAAAACACAGACATCCTTCGGATTAGATGTATGTGAATAAATTTATCGTAGATATCTTGATTACATGTTTGTACGCCACGCGCGTCTTGTCTACAAAAGACTCATAAGTGACTCTTGAATCACAAAAGTTAAAATCGCCAACTACAGCATGAAGTTGAAGAGCATATAGGACCCGAAATTCCCAAAGGGTTTGCCAAATAAAGCTAAGGTAATCTATTCCTGGAGTAGACTATCGTTAGTATTTAGAAAATATTCAAAGTTTTGTAAACAGTTAATTTATAATTATAACATTTTCAATGATAATGCCTGTCAACACTGAAGTGCTGACCTGGATACTCATGTTTCTTCAAACTAAGTATTACATTATATAAGTTAGTAAAATAGTTGCAGCCTTTGCCGTAAATGCAATGTCGAACCTTCTATTAATACTGGAAAAAATAAACTGTTATTTTATCTCTCCATTTCTAATGATTATAGTACATTGACAGGTGTTTTACATGTTAGTAAAAGAGGGGTGCAAATTTGGCGCCCCTTGAACTATTTGTATAAACCTCCTATTATGGAAGTTAATGAGCCTGAATGGTACATACCTTGCATACACATTCCTAATGTTACGAAGTTTCTGTCTGTCTTATGTCAATTGCTATTGACTTCATTTTCATGGTTCAGCGACTGCCGAAAAATTGCAAACTTTTATTTTATAAATTTCAGACTTATTATGATTGATAGGATAACTATATTTGATATATGGGGCCCTTGTAAGTTCTATTTGTCCGTCAGACATGTTCACCTCCCCTTGACCTAATTTTAAGGATCAAGGTTATCTTATCATGGTCAAGTCCGTATCTCTGATACTGTAAGTAAAAGATCAACTATATTTTGAGGTGTGATGCACATATCTTTCTGGCAGGGTTCATTTGATCTTTACCTCATTTTCATGGTTCATTGGTCATTGAGACGTTGGTGTCATCTAAAACATTTTGGGGGGTGTTATAAATGTTTAACACTGTGTAAATACATTATAGAGGAATTGTAATCTTATAACAAAATTTAAGTTTTGGACCAAACCCCCCCCCCCCCCCCCCCAACCCACCCCTTCAAAAAGAAATATTTTCATAATGTTAAAACAAAATGAAGTGCTATGAAGTGTTTGTATTTCACTACAACTTAGTTCGTAAATAAGTGCATAAGGTATGCTTATATCATTTTGAAACGAACCCTACAAAGAACTGGAGTGATCTCAAGTTTCCCAAGAAAATATGTCTTTACACACAATCATATACTATTATTTAATATCAAATTTCATTTGACGGAAAATTTGCAGACCCTTGCTGCTGTAAAGTAGTGCTTTAAAAA